AAGTTGGAGCCTGAAACTTCCGTTTTAATCCTCCAATCAGAAAGCTTAAGTAGGTTTACTAACCATCTAGTTGTGTTAGTAGCTTGATGATGAAATTCAGCTGTAGTCTGAGACGCTGTGGATTTAGATCCACTTGTATCCCGTCGTCTAGGTAAATTCGCTGCGAAGTCCTTGACGATGTAGGTGCACAACCAGGTGTGTCTGTCCTCGTTGAACTTTATGTAAAATCGCCTGACTGCCGTGCCTCGTCCCTAACTTGACAGGGGAGGTCTCTAACCTGAAGAAAGCAGCCCAATCATGAAGGTTCAGATTAACTGGACTGTAAGGAGGCTTGCTCGCTCACTGATATATAGTTGTCACTTGTAACGTAAGTCTTGAACTGTGAACTAAGATCGACCTCTCGTGTGGGTCGTTGTCCATCATGGTCCAATCAGAACAAGGCATTTTGATTCTGTAGAATACCCGCTGTGATGTCACGGTGTAGCAGGAAAAAACCTTGTATAAAATCTTGCCGTCGTTGATATTAGCATAATCGCCGGTCTTCACCGTAGCTTCCGAAGTTACCCGAGTGACCACGCATGTTTCGAGGGTTAATGGTAAACGCCATGTGAAACCTCCGCCGAAATACCCGCTCTGTAATATTAATGCTGGGTAGGTTATTTTCCTGGCTGTCGTGAAAGTAACTTCAGTTTTGAATATAATTCGACTTCCTTATATAAAGGTACAATAAACTTGCAAGTTGTCAGCTTGTAGACTGTATACATGAATGTATCGTCATAATTGTAGAATTAAAGCTGAACTTGTTGTACATATTTCTTCTCAGAAACGTTGACTATTATGAGTTATACTCGCTGTAACAAGGCTGCTGTTCAATTTCGATATTGAATTGTCTGCAGATCTGCGTAATGGTCACACGCATGTAGATAATCGTATCGTAGTCCGGGATTGCATATTCTAGCAATCTATACGGAAAAGTTGATTCCTGTGAAGATCTATGAAACGTCGTTGACTAATTAATACAGCGACATTCTGTGTTGTAAATAGCCTGTGCAATTGTCTTCGCGTAGGCTTATAAACGGCATATGGCATACAGTTGATAGACAACTTATGCGATGTCTTGAACGGACTGACGAGTAGCTATATATGACGAGTGGCTAGTATATGGAGACCTTGGAGGAGACTTCCTCGGTGAACGCCGGAGACTTCGCGAAGCTCTCGAAGTATCCCTTCTAGATCTTCTGGGTGAAGTAGACTTGGAGCCACTTAGCCTTCGCGACCTTCGCGAAGGTATCGAGTCAGAGCCCGATCATTATATATATATATGAGCGCTTGCTTCGCGAACGACCTCTGTGTTCAACAGGATGTGGGGTCGGCAAAGCGCTACTCCTCCGCGACGTCCCTTGTAACTGGTGAGGCTCTAGCTCCTTCGCGGAGGCGGCCTGGGACTTCCTTAGCGAAGTGTCTAGAGTCCGATCAATATATGAGCGTTAGCTTCATACAGGGTGTGGTTCTTGCTGGTTCTGCATAAGTAGAGCCGAGTAGATCATCCTATCATCTTCAGAAGTCGTGTCACGAAATCTGGTGATAAGAATCTCATTGATCGTTCTAGATCTATTAAGGCCAAAGAACATAACGCCTCTGGCGTTTGAACTTTCATGGCTTTATGGTAGGCTGTGTCCACATTCTGTGGCACCGCAGCAATCGGGTCGATCGGAGGTAAGGTGATGGCGTCTGCATCGTCTTCCTTCATCAGGTATGTCTGCGCCGAGTTGCCACTCTTGGAAGGTGAAGAGAGATCTAGGTTGTTTACCATCCAATATCGTATCTCAGCGTCTGAGAAAATGATGCCTCCATCATCTTCTATCCCAGCATCGCTGATGAGAGGTTGATGCTCTTCTGATGGTGGACTGTGTGTTTCTATCTCTATGTCGGGTGACGCTCGAGGAGACCTGACTGTAGACTTGTGTGCAGACTTGTGTGGTGACCTGTGAGGCGATCGACGTGGTGATGTACGAGGAGATCGGCACGGTGATCTGCGTCTATGGGTTGACCTTCTCGGAGACCTGTGAGGAGAATGTTGATAGCTTCGCGAAGCTCTTGTGTAGTCCCTCGAAGTCCTTCTGGACGATGACGATCTGTGGTCAGGTGTCCTTCGCGAAGGCCTTCGCAAAGCTTCCTCTGCGTCCGGTCCTGGGGAACGGCGACTTGACCTTCACGAAGGCTTCCGTGAGGTCTGGTGGTCTGAGTCCGCATCTAAGGATGAAGCCGAGGAAGGTGATGATCTATCCCGCCTTCGCGAAGGCTGTACATCTGGGTCCTTCGTCGAGGTGGTCTGCGACTTCCTTCGCGAAGGTGGCTTCGTCGTGGCTGCTACGCTGACGGGGGGTGCCTCTGGGGTGTCGTCTGCGTTGGAACCTTCGCGAAGGCTCAGGCCCTGGGCTGGCTGCTTCTCCAGTCTGTAGTGGCCCTCCATCATGATCATGATTTGCCGCAACAGTTCATCTGGGATGGTCTGCGACGAAGTAGTCGGTGCCCTCTCTGCGGTGTTAGCGGCGGGGCCCTCAGGGAAGTCGTCTGACATCAGTGTAGAGACATCAGGCTGCATGGCGATCTCTGCTGATGTCACTGTAGCTGTCACCGGTCGCTTCTTGTGGTGTACGTCGGGGATGATGATCGGCTGATCATCGTAGAGGCCCAGTTCAGCGGCTGGAACAATCTCGGTTGAGAAAGTCCGAGTAGACTTCGTTGATTTCCCCTCAGAGGTCGACGCTGCCCTGGGGGTGCGAAGTCTGCGTTGAGATGCAGTAGAAGCCCTCTAGTCTTCAGCTGCGACGATGGGATGTCTGGGGAAGCAGGACGCTTCTTGGAGGCGGCGGACTACGTCCCACACCTCTCCACCACTCTAGCGGAACACCAGACGGGAGGGGGGTCGACCAACAGCAGTAGACTGGCGAGGGGTTCAGGTGTATCAGTCATGGCTAGACTCTGCATACGCGACCTATCTGCTGCGCGTCTCAAACGCAAAGTAATTATTTATTAAAGGCAGAATTGGATAAATTAGTACCGCAACTGCAACGTGAATAAAATGAACATGGCGCAATACAGCTAGGGCATATTAAATGCGGATCAGCAGCAGAATAAAAAATGTAATCTGCAACAGTACAGAATTTTCATCAACGTAATCCACTGAACAAACACGGCGTCCCGTGAATAAACAGTAGAAACACGACTAAATATCAATATATAATTGTTGAAGGATACTAGCTAACCCTCTATAGATGTCTATACGAGGTAACTAACTAAATATAATCAAAGGATATAGTGTGTCGGGAGACACAGGCGCTCTCACGTCCAGCTCACTGGGCGAAGAAGGAGAGAGTGAGGCACATGGGTGGAGGTGGCGCCCTCGTTCCCGCGCTTGTGGAAGGGAGGTAACTCGTGGTGAGTACTAATTAGTGATTTTACATTGAAGGGAGCTTCAATTAGGGAGATACAAGTGTTCCACTATGTTCGCAAGAAGAAGAAGACAAGCAAAAAGAGCATGAGTCAGGATAAGGAAAAATAATAAATATGTCTTTTATTTATGAGATCGACGACGTTTGGCTGCAGATACTCGCAGATATGCCGCAAGATCAAAGGTGTGAACAATTAGCAGGTTATGTTACCACCCAGCGGATTGAAGGAGACCTGACACCAGTAGTTTGGAACTTCCATGGCACTGAGGGGCCCCGTACCAACAACCAACTCGAGGGGTGGCATGGTTGCCTTAAGAAGATTGTCGCCAAGGCCCATCCAAACGTCTTTGAGCTCATCTGGTTCCTGACATCTGAACAAAAGAAGAACAAGATCCATCTGGTCCAGTATGCCACTCCCAAGAAAAATAAGTACCAGGACATCCAGAGAAGACTCGGCAACTTGAAAGATGGAGGGGAGACATCGACATTCTACACTTCGCTGATGCTGCCTCCCATATTGTAAAACTCCAGTAATGTCCATTGAATCTCCTGCTGAATTGTACATTTGTATGCTGTCTGCTTTGTTAATAATAAAATGCACATTAACAGATATCTTAGTTGGTTTATTTCTTATATGGCCCCACAACACAGGGAATTAAATCATTAAACTCAATCTGACTGTCAATTGTTTTGTATAACTGGCTACTGGTAGCATTCGCAGGAAGGGGACCTGCTGTTTTCATGGTTGTTTTTATACGACTTGAGGACTCATCATCCTGCGAATGAACTTTTTGTCAGTAGGGTTTAGACTCCCCTAACACATGTTAGCTCTCGCCCTCAGCCCAGATAGTTGTTCCGACTCTCGGTGGTCACCCCATGTTATTCTTGTAAATAAGATTGTGATTAACCTCTTGTGACTTCGGACTCTTTGCTGAGTTAATTCCCCACAACCAGATCAGCACGCCAGTTAGAAAGGGGTTTCACTGGAACCCTTACTGGGATCCAAGACCCCAATCATAATAGTCTTATAAGCAAAATTCAAAATGAAAACTTGTTTCATATATTGTTTAAATTGAAGATATGAATATGTTTTTTAAATTCAAGGATGGCATCCACCATGATAATATTCAGTGACACCTCAGCAACATATCTAGCATGGATGACATACTAAACAATTACTGACTGATGAGGAGATGATAGATAACACATGATGCAAAACATGCACTTGTTCTGATGATGTTCTGATGAACATCTGACGTAACTGCAGGACATATCTTTTTAACACACATGCGGTTGAGGACTATTTTAAAATAACTGGTATCAAATGTATGTGTGAAATGAATTCCAAGTATTTGACTGGCTACTCTATGGTGATGACCTCATGTCAGATTGTGACAGATCAAAATCACTGAGAACACTGATGTTCTCAAAAACAGTTGATATCTGCTGGAAACACTAATACAAGTTTCCACATGTGGAGGCAACAAAGAATAAACCCAATTTTTCAGTTTGTTATCCTTGTTGAATTTCACTGATGTTACTTACATTTTACAAGACTGTCCTCTGTCACTGACCTATGATACAGTGGCTGGTCTCCCAAATGAGGACAGTTTCATGGAGGAATCTCCTTTTGCTGTGAGTGTAAAGCCTCTTGAAGGACGCTGCTTGTGGTAGTCAGAGAAACATTTGCCACTCAGGATATCTCTGTGGACAGAATGATAACACAATATAACTTTGTATGAAAACAGTCTATCGCTTATACAATCATTTGTCTGTCACTGTGCATTGAGGAAATAACTCTGTATGTCCCAGTGCATTACATATAATTGTGTGTATGGCACAGTCCATTGTATATAGTGTCACACCTATTGATAAATGTATTTTACCATAGATAAGCCATTTCATAGATAAACCAAGATCCTAACTTGACCCTTAAGATCAGTATCAAAATGGTATGTTCCGTAGATAAGCCGAACCATCAACCTTCGCTCATCTTTTCGATGTGATCAGTCATCAGAAATAGAGTGTCAACAATTCCATATTGAATTACGAAAGTTACTCCTGTTGTTACACTATCTCATAATAAAACATGTTCTTTGCATATCTGGACTTAGTTTGCAATCACTTTAGCTCAAAATGTCAAAATAGAATGTGTTGTATTAACTGCAGTGATATCACGTGTCCCTTGAATATTTATAACTTTGGTTCGCATTATTCACAGCAATCACCATCATTTTGTGTCTAATTCATAATGACACAATGCAAGAATACATTTCTATTGGTAAAATAACAGTTTCAGATATTATATTTTTCCGATCACTGAATCAGAATTCATCTCGCTGTATTATTGGGTATGTTTTAACAAAATTATGTGTGCACAGCTTATTGCTATTTCTAGCTCTGTAAACAAGACAAATACACACAGTAATCTTAATCCCTGCATGTAAGACAATACCTAGAATCTTGTCTTGTGATGTTTAATTGCAAATTGGACATCTTTAATGACAAAGTTGTCTTCTCTTGTTTGTTCACAGCGAAGTGATACACTGTATTTTTTATTTAAAAATTTTAACGAAAGTGTAACCTGTGGATAAGCCTTCTACAGAGTGCTTTTTCTTGGTCCTCAAAATTTGGTTTATCTACATTAATATACGGTAACAATTTTGGTCCAAACAGGTGATCATACCCTGCAAAACATGTGCTTTACACAATATCTCAAAAGCTGTTGGCTGCATGTTAATGTGCTGTGTAGGTGTTAAGCACACAGGGTTTTGAATTTCATAATTGCAGTATGATGTAAAAGATGGCATCACTAAAAATTAACTTTCCCTGGCATGGTAAGAAGTAAAATTTAAGAAAATTCAAAATGACATGCTAATATGAAATACACAATGCCATTTTAGAAAGTGGTCAAATGTAACATATGTTATATTTGGGATTACACTTTCTCAGTAAAAGTACAGATTCTAGTACTTCCGATCCGGGTGTATTTCATAGCTTTTGGCCGTTGGAGCCGTGCCAATTAACACTTATCAGAGGGGTACACAAAGTCTGCAGTCTAGACTACCATTTTTGTGGAAGCCTTGGTGGCTGAGCAGTTTAGGCGTCTGACTTTGTGTGCTGGCGATTAGGTGCCTGACTCTGAGGGTGTGGGTTCGAATCCCGGATGGGACTCAACCCAAAAAGTACTAGAATCTGTACTTTACTAAGAAAGTGTAATCCCAAATATAACATATGTTACACTGAGTTTTGGTGTCGGCATATTCCTTCATAAGGTACTATGGATGGTCTTTGGACATGGTACAATATAACTGGGATTCAGTGAGTGACAAAAATCACGAAAACCATTACCTTTAACAACGTTTAAAGGTCTGAGCTAGGTCACTAACGCACATCATCATGGCCTTGCGTGTGAGTGTCTAGTATGTTTTTGAGTCAAGCTTTTTTCGGTTGTAACCCCCCAAATATCCCTGCGTCAGCGTGGCTTGCTTTTTGACTGGATTTTGGGAAGAATCGTCCACACTGACGGACTTGTGTTTCATGTTAAGATGTTTTCTCACTGAGCTTGTTCAGCTCCCTGCATAACTCAGCGTAATGCTGCAAAGGTGACACTTGGTTTTGAAGTGTCAAGATCAAAATGGGCCCATACGTTCGACCTTTTATCATCCATGACACGTGGTCACGTTTAGTTTAGAGTTATCTATCTTTGTCGGGTACTGGAGTCCTGGAATTTGGACTCGAGTCCTGCCGTACCCGCCCCGTTTCCGGGTACTCGAGTACCCGTCAGAGCCCTAGCTTCCAACTATTAAGTTGATGTCACCGACATGGATGCCATATTTAAAGCCATGAGTGAGGGAATAAAATTTTGAATAGATATGGACATCCAAGTAAAAACTGGGTATTTAGCTAAAGTTTGGAATATAGTAATGATTTTGACATAAGCCAATTATGAGTAAGTGGGGAAAAGTAAATTATTGAAATATAAAAATAAGTAAATGATAATATAAAACAATAGTACTGATATAATATCTTTGCTTTTATGCTTGCTTTTCTTTTTAATCTCACCTTACAGAAGGGTATTGAAACAAAATGGGAACCATGTACATGTTATATATGAAGATGAAGATCACCTGTAAATTGTTAATAGAACTTGACATCAACATGAATATCTTGTCAATGTGTTCACGTGAATAGCTATGTCTTGTTTTCGTTTCTGACTTTTTCAAGACAAACATAAACATGAAAACAAGGTTGGGGAAGTAATAGCCTAGCTAGGCCAAAATCTCCCCCTTTTGATATAAGAACAAGAGTGGGAAACAAGTAGCCTTTAAAGATGATTCAAGGGTGGGGAAAGTTTGGCCTAGGCCATGAGCTAGGTTACTGTCCTGGTGGTGGCTCGGACGAAGAGATGTGTGAAGTCTGCGGACTTTGATTGCAAAAGTGAGGTCTGCGGACCCGGTCGTAACCTGTGCTCTGGTTTAACTTGGGGGATAAGGATCCAGTGTTAAGTGGGTAATTGCCCGACCCCTGAGGGTGACAAATGATACCCAGGATGCGGACCTGAAATACGAAGGGGAGGATCTGCGGATCCTGTTGTAACCTGGAAGCATCAGTCAGCACCAATAAATCTAAGCATGGAGACATTGTAATGCTATGGAAGATTAAAACAAAGCACTTTGATAGAATATGTACATACAACAGAATAAGGAATAGACAAATTGCACATGTGGGATTGGGAGGGCGGGTAGCAAAGGTTGTACGTTATCTGTAATGTTGCGAGCACTTGGACTTGGAGCAGAAGGTAGTAGAAAGGGCTGTGGGAAGTAAACAAAGTGTGCACATGCACTAGGTATAAAGGGAAATGCGCATGCTCCCACTGCCAGAGAATACTTGGTGAAGCCAGGTGAGGTCAGGTGATGCGCAAGATGAAAGGGCATAAAATAAGTTGAATGATTAAAAGAGGGTGCAGGACATGGTACAACATAAGATAAATAATACTATGAGTGAGAAAACATTTTATGTTTGCACAAACAAAAATATGTTAATTATCATTTTGTGTTATAATCCTAATTAGTTTATTATCATTTTTGTATGCATTATAAAACTTAATAAAAGGCACACAATCTGCTTATGCTTATGCTTATGACTGTAATATCTAGACATTTCATATTCACACATGCCCTAGAGTATGTTGTCTGTCTCATTATACTTCATGGCAAAAAAATGATTCTGTTTAATGCTACAACCAATAAATAAAAACAAAATGCAGATATTAAAATTAAAACAGACTAAAGTTACAGCAACAATGTCAGACTATTACCTTGTTCAAGGAATGTATCCATCAATATTCACATAAAGAAATGATATGCCATTCATCTGCGGTAACCGGATAAAAACCCCCACCATAGTGCATCGTAGGACATTAGCTCCAAATGAATCATGAAGATCTCAATGGATCAGTTTTTGTGCCATGAGACTTGGCTTCTGATTCTGAATTAGTGTTTAGTGCGAGTACACCATGTTTTGTCCATAAAGTGGTATTTCAAATGTTTTCAAAACACTATGACCACAATACTTTTCCATTATGGATTTTATTAAGAGCAACAAAGGCGGTTTGAAAATAGTATTTGAAGTGCATGTACAGTAAGCATGCAAGTCGTAAGAACAAAATCTAGTGGAAATATACAAATAGGTCCAGTTTGTAATCAATTTAATAATATTTGTTATTGTGACTTTTTTTCCTGTGACCTTCTTTCCGATCACCGTTGGTTTTGCTATCTCCCCTCAGTGTGGCATTAAGGAAGTTCCATACACTTGGTGGATACAGAGGAGGCAACCAAATGAAGTACTAAGTTAATTAATGAAGTCTGTTAATTCCTGTCACTGATAATCTCTCTTACTGATTCAATCAAAACATGTCACTTAAGTCACTCAGTAGTTAAAACATGCTTGTGTTTTTTTTCCAAAGGTCCTTATTTGTGTTTTTTTTCCTTATAGGTTTTTGTCCTGAAGGTTTTTTGTCCTAGGGGGCTTTTGTCCACAGGGGTTTTAGTCCTAATATCGTGAAAAAGTGATATATCATTATAACTAGTGGTAGTTTCTCAACTGATCACATGACTGTTTCAGGTTTTTCACACTGGTGTATAGTCTCATTGGTCTCCCAAGATAGCACACCTGGCAACTAATTGCATGATGTCCACCAAAAGTAATTAGCCAATTACCATTATAGTAATCAACGTATTGGCGGTAATCCTTGGAAGGAAGGACATTGTTTTTACACACGTACTTTACGACAGGGTTTATTCAGTATAGATTAGTAAATCTACATACATAAACACTACCTTTTGACAAATCTGCTGTGCAAGATAAAAGCAATTAATTAATCAGCGTGTTATTGTTCAATCCTTTGATCGATGTTTGTTTTTATAACTCAGCTTATAATCCCTCTTGTTGCACTTCTATGTGCATATTACATAACATGTAATACATTTGCCACATCAGAACTTAATTTATGGTGTTGAGTATTTACTCCAGACATGAGAAATGCCAAATGGGAACCTTTGTTGGGCAATCTGAGTGGCGTTAACACAAATTATATCTGTTATAAATTCATTAACTGATCATGACCATCAAGTGAATGTTAACAAATAACATGTGAAGGTTTATACCACCAAACATGGGTTACAACAAGGCAGTAGTATATT